TAAGGACAGAAACCATATTGGTCTTGTTCAGAATTGTATCCCAGCACTTATCATATTGCCTGGTGGATTATACGCACTGAGCAAATATCTGTGAGAAAAAGTAACAGAATCTTGAAGGCTATATAAGTTGACCTGAAGGAGGATACCCCAAGCAGGGGGAAAGACTGATAACACTATAGAAAGTATTTGCTGTTTGGTATACGTGAAGTACCAACTGCTAATCACGAAAAGAAATGAGGCTGCAAAGAGCCGTTAGAGCTAAATTGTGAGAAGCTTTGAAAGGTGTGCTAAGGAATTTGGTTTGTCCAGTGGGTGATAAGGAACCTTCCAATACTTTTAAGCAATATCAGGATCATATTTGCATTTTAAAAAACTAACTCTAGTAAAAGTGTAGAAAATGAACTGGCAAGAGGAAAGACTGAAGGCAGGAGGATCATTGGAGGAACACTCAGACAAACCCAAACTGAGGAACGTTTTCCAAAACAACTGGTCTGGACACTTCAAAGATATGAATATGAAGAAAGGCAAATACTTATATAAAAAGGCTGGGGAACTGTTATAAATAAAAGGAAACTGAAGAGACACTACAGTTAAATGCAATGTGGAAAGGGAAAGTGAGCAGCTGTAAAGGTTCTTATTGAGATGACTGGGGTAATTTGAATATGGAGTGTTTATTAGATAATATCGAGGTTAAATTTCCTGACTGTGTTTATGGTTTTGTAGGAGAATGTCCATGTCCATGTTAGGAAACTCAAGCTAAAGTATCTAGGTATGAAGTGTCATGATGTCTGCAACTAACACTGCTCAGCCAAAAACTAAAAACTTTTTTGTGTGTATATAAATTTTATGTATTTATATACACTTATATATATTTTATATATTTTATTTTGAAAAATTTCAAACTTTGAGGAAATGTACAAGAATAGTATAATTAACACTCATATATCATTCACCTAGATTCACCAAGTATCTTTTTGTATGGGGTGTGTATATAATATATATTGTAATATATTTATGTAATATTTATATATAATATAGACATACAAATTAATATAATACATAAATAATAATATGTGCATAAATATAATACATAAATTTTTCAAAATAAAAAGAGTAAGGGCAAATACACTGTAGCCAAAGACAGAAATGAGGAAGCCCAGGGGAAAGGTGGTAAAGACCAGGGAAGTTAGAGGATAGAAGGGGTAGAGATGGTAAGGAGAAGAGACAGGAAGAATTAATCAGAGAAATATTTCTGATTCCTGTACATGAATATATGTGTATAAGTGTAATATATATATATTTTGTATATTCTGTTTTATAATGGAGTATCCTAATTTCCTTACTTACCTTTTTTTAATCATCTTGTGTTACAGGTTTTTTTTAATCGGCCTTAAATTCTTTTCAAAACAAGGCAGGCAAAAAGGAAGGAAGAGTACTTTTCAATAAAAAATAGGAAAAAAGCTTTGAGTAATCATGAAAGAATGAGCTTCTATGTAGTGTTAGCAATTGGAATCCCACCTAATCCAGCAAAAAGAATTTCTATGTCTCATTCCTCTGCTGGGAAGGGGACAAGTCTATGTGTTTTAACCTATAGGGAGACTGCCATATGCTCTTCCAATTGGACAGTTATCCTCCGCAGAGTGTCTAATGCTTTTAGTAAAGCAATGATAAGAAAAGAAAACCTTAGCTTGCTGAGTCCTCTGTCCTGAGATGGGAATTCATTATCTTTCATTTTGGGAAGGGTGTAATTATTTTTGAATGGAATGTTAATCTAGGAATTATCTCAGACTGTGCCTTTCTACCCAGACAGATTTGACATAGTCTCTTAATTCTCTGCATGTGCTAATTTCTGTATTTAATTAGAAGGCTATTAGAGTAACAATGACCCAGAGCCCAGGAAACACACACATAGAACACAGACAGAGACACAGGAAAAAAATAGGATTTAGTTCCTAGATTTTTTTTTTCATTGAAAAATAATGTCCAAAATGACATACATCAGCTTCTGTAGGACTCTTTAGAAATTTGAATGCATGGGCGCTGGAACAACCACCAGGAAAGGGCTAGAAAAAGATGGCTCAGTTTTAGAATGGTAGTACTCTAATTTTCCAGCTAATAGTACATACCAAGCCAGCCCTGGTGGGCTAGTGGTTAAGAGTCGCGCCCAGGTCTGTTTCCTGGTTAGGGAACCACACCACGCACCTGTCATCATACCTTGTTGTCTGCGTGTTGCTGTGATCCTTAAAGCTGTGTTTCAGGTGGACAGATTTTAGCAGAGCTTCCAGTCTACAACAGACTAGGTAGACGGACCTGGCCACCCACTTCTGAAAAAATTGGTTATTAAAATAGTGTGTATAGCAGCAGAGCATTGGCTGACACAGCTTCGTGAGAGGATGGCACAAAAAGACCAGACGGGGTTCCTCCCTGCTATACACAGGGTCCCTAAGGGTCAGAATCCACGGGACGGCACTAAACAAAATGTTGCCATGCCTCCATGGGGATCTTCTTTTATTCATCATACTGAGTGGACCATTTCAATCTGGAAATTGAAGTCCTTCAGTTCTGGGGGATATTTTTGTATTGTTTATTGGATAAAATTCCCTCCATTTTCTCTGTTCTCTCCTAAAATTTTTATCTTCCAACTGCTCTATTACATTTTTAAAATTCATGCTTTTCTTTTTTTTTTGAGGAAGAGTAGCCCTGAGCTAACTGCTGCCAATACTCCTCTTTTTCTTAAGGAAAACTGTCCCTGAGCTAACATCTGTGCCCATCTTCCTCTACTTTATATGTGGGACGCCTACCACAGCATGGCGTGCCAAGTGGTGCCATGTCCAGAATCCCACCTGGCAAACCCCAGGCCGCTGAAGCAGAACGTGCGAACTTAACCGCTGCCCCACGGGCCGCCCCAAATTCATGCTATTTTTAACTTCTAAAAGCATTTTGTCATCCTTCTTGTTTCATGAATGCAGTATCTTATTTTCTGAAGATATTTCTCTCTGTTTTTGAAGTTTTCTTCTGTTTCCTACATTCCTTCCATTTCCTTTGAAATGGAAATAGCTTTTTTGGTTTTTTTTCTGTTTATTTTGGTCTCTTTTTTTCATGTTAGAGACCTTCCTAAAATGGCTCATCATCCTTGGCTCTTACGTGTCAAAGGTAGCACAAAAAAGATTATTGGAAACTTGAAGTAGGAAAGGTTGATATTGTCGATCTGTGGGTACCACAATGGGTAATTGATCAAGGACTTGGCCATTTCGGGGGGAACCCCAAAAGTCAATATCTGTAGGCCTTTTTTCTTGGGCCAGCCAGTTTCCCTGGAGAGAAATCTAGTCTCCTGCAGGGGGAATGAGGGATGTTGGGGTTTGAGGCAGAGAAGTACACCTGATGACCTGTGTTCTAGGAACTGAGCTGAGGAAGGGATTGAAAGACTCAGTTTTCAGTTCGCTATCATCCCTTATCTTCTGTATGGTGACACACACATGACTCTGCTATGCCCAGTGGCCCAGAATTCAGCACCTCTCTGGCTAAACTTCTGCAGAGAATAAATGTGCCCATCTTTATTGGATTGTGCCTGGCTGCAAGAACAGGAGGACAGACTCCAGAGGCCTATCTGATCTTTATAAAGACTTTTAATTAGTCCTATTTTAGCCCTACCCCAAACCTTCAAAGGTATTAGATGACTTCAAGTCCCAAATCTTCTGAGAGTTTTAAGAATCGTCTTGCTTCCTATTGTCTTCTCTACAACACGCAGTCAAGCCTCAGCTTTCCTCTGCTCTGCCAAGTCAATTACCATTCATCCATCTGCTCACCATTTTCCATAATTTTGTTGACATCTATCATCTACTGTGGTCTCTGTTCCCATCCTTTGTCTTAAGAGTTTATGCCTTTTTGATTCCTTTACTGCTTTTTCATGTTTCAGAAGGGAGTGGAGCACCAGTGTGCTGATAAGTGTTTAATAAATATATATACATAACTTTATTAAAAATTTACTGATATAAAGTAATAATATAATAATTATTATAAATAATAATAAAATATCCAATGCTCTTCCCTGTAAATTTCATATGACCAACTGATTCTCATAGAATACGATTGTTGATTTTTACACATTTCTTATATCTATAACCAACCTATGGTTGTAATTTAAGAACAAGTGTAGTCCTGATGCGAATGTTGGTTGATATTTTCGTTTATAGAGTAAGACAAAGGTGAAACACAAAGACTTATGTTGGAACTTCACTTCAGTATGTATGCAACTTCTTTGATGAATCAGAAAATAGTTTCCAAATACTGGAATAATATTCCTCAATTTTTTGTGCTATTGACAATGTAAATGACTACACACAAGATAAACTTTTTAGTTTAATCTGCATTAACATTTTCTTCATCACTTTCTTAACAATCAACAGAATAATAAATCAAGCCCTAATCTGTAGTGTTTTATAATATCCATGGTATAAATACTCCCATCATGGCCAATTTCAAGTTTCCAATGTGAAGTCACTGAATGTGGAGCTGGGAAGAAATTAACAATAATACATCATTCTATAGCATTTTCACTATATAGATACAATAAGGTAAACAACCTCAAGAGCATAGATGAAAGTAAGATCATTAGGAAGTGATGAGTTTTGCATATTTGTTACCTTTTAAAATATAAATTATCTAATGGTAAGTTTATATAATTTAATTTTAATGGTGGGCATGTTTAACAACTGACTCACAGACTTCTTGAAAATGTAACACTTGATGTCAACCCCAGCACACCACTGGAGTGGAGATAAAGGTACAGGGTCAGGGGGCAGCTGTGGTGGCACAGTGGTTAAGTTCACGTGCTCCACTTTGGCACCTGGGGTTTGTGGTTTGGATCCCGGGCACAGACCTACACAGTGCTCATCAAATCATGCTGTGACAGCATCCCACATACAAAATAGAGGAAGATTGGCCCAGATGTTAGCTCAGGGCCAATCTTCCTCAGCAAAAAAAAAAAAAAAAAAAAAAATACAGAGTCAATCCACCAAGTTTAACCAGAATGTCCAGCTCCTTTCTAAAGTCTATTTTCATAACTTAGAGATTGGTGGCTATAGGAAAAAGAGGCAGGAGGCTGGTTCTCTGGGTCAGTTTGATCTCTAACAAAGCATATCAAGAGGAGAGAGGGAACAGAAGCCTCCAGGGCTGCAAAGGGGCAGACGGATGACAAGGAAGGGGAGGTTACCATGGAAGTCTCAGATTCGAGGAATCCCAACCAGTGAACTCGGGGCCTTCCGTAGAGGTTTCCAGTGACCTTTCTCCATAGAAAGTTCAGGCAACCACAGGATTGCTGCTTCCTCTGAGGCTTTCCTAGTTATCTCCATTCAGAGTATTTTTTGTCCTGTGTTCAGTTTTTTAAAAAAATCAATCAATCCTTTAAACATCCGTTGTGTTTAATAATCCCAAGAATGGCCTTCTCTGTTTCAGCAGAAAAAGTGATATAACAAAATTGAAGTCAACTGTTTTTTGATGTGTCTCCCAAGCCTCTAAGAACAATTAAGGAAAATGCTCTGTTAATTTGAGACCTGGCAATTAGTTCAATAAGATGTCGTCAAGAACCTTTACTCCTAGAAGGGGTAATGATATATGCACTGTCCCCCATTGCCATTAGGGGTGCCCTCTGCAAGCCCGACGCTCTTGGAACTAAGCTGCTTCTGAGTTTTTACAACCTACAGCGGGGTTGGGGAGGTTCTTCAGCCAGTGGAATCTGATCGCTGAGCAAGCCTAGAGCTGCATACCAAGTGCTGGGAGGTTACTGGGTGAACAAGAGTGGAATGAATGTGTATTTTAAAGGCCAATTGTTCATATTCAAATGTAAGTTTGAACGGAAGGAGGCCTAGCCCTTGAGACCATTTTTATTTCTCCTACTTGTATAGACATCTTTCTTCCTCAGGTAGCAACAGCTAAAACTAGTAAAGCACTTCTTCACATCAAACTGGCTCTCACTTAATTTTCTTCAGCAAAGGATATGGATTAAAATCTAAACACACCAGATAGTGTTTAAAAATGCTTTAAAATAAATGTTTTGAAACACCCGTGTCTTAGATTTGGGGTAATTGTTATTACATTGTGTCACCTATTTAATCTATTGCACCGCAGTGTGTTAGAAAGAACGTGGTCTTTGGAGACTTACAGATCAGGACTTAATGCTTTATTTCACTACATTGGACAAATCATCTAGTCTTTCTAAGCCTCAGTTTATTTTTGCATAAAAATGAGGGTGAAAATTCTCTTCCTCAGGGATAATATCTTGCAGGATAGTGAGGAGTCACTGAGAAATGTATGTGAAGATGCCTAAAAGTAAATGGACATTGTAGAATGGTTAATGGTCCATTACCAGCTCTACCTATTGCAGTGGATGTTATGGTAAATGTTACTGGCAAATATAACTGACTATAACCCACTTATATCCATTTTCTCTGTTACATAGAAAGGGAAATTCACTTAACGAAAAAAACAAGACAAGCAAAGCAAAATTAGAGATTAATGTAATGCCAAAGCCAAAGTCTCTCTAGAGATAGTTTAATTCTGGGTTTAAACTTTTCTCCCTTTCAGAGAACTTCTGGAATGCTCGTAGTGACTTATTTCCTAACCAAGGTGGCAGTTACAAGGGTGTGTTCACTTTGTGATAATTCATTGAACTATACACTTAAGATTTGTGCATTTTCTATATGTATATATTATTCTTCAATAAAAAATGTAAAAAAAAAAATTTCTCTGTAGAAATCATGCCCAAGTTCAAGCAACGAAGAAGAAAGCTAAAAGCCAAAGCAAAAAGATTATTCAAAAAAAAAGAAGCCTGTCATTCTCAGTCCAAGCTAATTACACCTCCCCCTCCACCACCCTCACCAGAAAGGTAAGTCATAAGGTGGAACAGAGAAATTCTTAAAAATCAGATCAGTTTAGGATAGAGTGACAAGATTTAGCAAATAAAAATACAGAATGCCCAGTTAAATTTGAATATCAGATAAACAATGAATATGTTTTAGTATTATCCCATGCAACATTTGCAATATACTTATACTAAAAAATTATTCATCCTTTATCTGAAATTAAATTTTATCTGACCATCCTGAATTTTATGTGGCAACTGTAGTTTAAGAGTCCAAATAAAGTAAGAATCTCAAGGAATTGTGTTGGAGGTATAGAGTAACTATTTTCTCCTTTCCTAGTCAAGTTAATTGCATAAATCTAGCAACTAAGTGATGAAAGAAGGATATAGGACTGGAATTTAAATCTTAGTTTTGGTAAAGTTTGGTCACTTATTCTCTGGGACTCAGAGCTTAAATGCGTTATAGAAAGAGACTCAGTTCTAGGAACCCTAGGGTACTAGTTTCCAGGATAACATACTTTATACATCTTGTTATAGCTCTCTTTCTGGAAAAATTTTTAAAACAGACCCTCAAAAAGCAGCAATCATGATATCATCCTTGACTCTTCTCTATCTCTCCTGAATATTGAAAAGGCCCTCTAACTGGTCTTCCAGTTCTGCCCTTGCCCCCTCTGCAGTATATTTCAGTGCAGCCCCTAGAGGGAGCCTGTTAAAATGATGCCATATTGCTCCTCTGCTTAAAACTCCTTTGTATGTCCCACAAGGCCTCTATGGTCTAACTCTGACCTTATCTCCTGATCCCCCATGCTTCAGTCTCTCCACCCTAGACACGCTGGCCTCCTTGCTAGCCCTCAGACACCTCAGACAAGCTTCCACCTCAGAGCCTTTGTAATTACTGTTGCCCTTGCCTGAACTGCTCTTCCCCCAGATGTCTGCATTGCTAGCTTCTTTACTTCCTGTAAGTTTTTTCGCAAAAGTCACCTCAGTGAGACTTTCCCTGCCTGCCCTATCTAAAATTTCACCTCCACCCAACATTTCACATTCCCCCCTCTTGCTTTTTCTCCTTAGCATTTACTCACTATTTAACAACCCATATATGTTATTTATTTACTTATTTTTACCTTTCTTCCTTGAGACTATAAATTCCATGAGGGCAGGGTTTTTATCTATTTTCTCCATTACTGAATCCCTGATGCCTATTTATTTACTATTTATTTTATTTTATTTTTCACTATTTACTCAACAAGTATTTGTTGTATAAGTGAATCTCCGAATTCTAGAATTGAATGAAGAATTAGGTAGTCTCTGCTCCTGAGTCATACTATAAAACTAGCTTGTTATTTAATTAGAGGCTGTTATTCCAACTCAGGAGTTTTTGCTTTGTTTGGTTTTGTTTTTCCTACAGAGTAGTTATTCCTTCAACAGATACACCCCTTAGCAAAAGCTGGCTAAGAGCATCCTGGAACTTCAAATGTCCCAATATCAAAGATGCAGTAAAACTTTGGGCAAATAGAGTGTGGTCTATATACAACTGGTGCCAGAACTGCATGAGCCAGGTATGGGTTGAATATACCTGTTTTCAGCAATACAGTTTTTCTACATGCTTAGTATGTGAGTTCACGTTTGTGTATGCTGGGTCAGTACAACATGCAGGCTAAGCTCAGAGAAGGTGAAATTATGGGGTCATGTCTGCCTTTGCTTCTGCAAAACATACATCAAGCCATTTTTTTGTCTTTTTTTCTTGTCCTTATCATATTGCTCTTCAGATTCTGGCTTGTTTATTTTATTATTACTATTTTTTTCTTTGAGGAATATTAGCCCTGAGCTAACATCTGCTGCCAATCCTCTTCTTTTTGCTGAGGAAGATTGGCCCTGGGCTAACATCCATGTCCATCCTCCTCTCTGGCTTGTTTATTTTTGATTTCAGAGTTTAGAAGTATTGAAAGATACCATCTTTCCATCCCATTTCTGCCGCCGGGAAATTCATAGTCTAAAACAACGGTTTCGCACTTTGGAAAGCGAATTATGCAAGCTCCAAGAAGCACTGAAGGTTGGTATTGTCAAATAAAAAACAAATCTGGAATTAGGTAAGGAGGGAAGGGATTGTCCCCCATAGGAATCCCAGTGTGCTTTTACCAGAAGGAGGAATGGCCACAGGCGAGTGCTAGTCCTGGGTCTGTTTGCTCTCGGATCTATTCCTTAAACTTCAGAGGCTCTGCTCTGTATTGCAGGAGGGCTGACCCCTGCAGGTTACATTTCCCGAGCTCCATGTCACCTGGCTTCTGGTTGTGCCTGGCTAATGGAAGACACTGATGAGAGACTAGAGGGAGGGAGAAGATGGGGTGTTTTTCCTCTTCATTCTCTGTGTTGGGCGATTTCTCCAGTGATGGTTGTTGTTGTCTCCCTGACTTCAGCTCCCCCTAAGTGAGTCTGTGTTTCTTGATTCTCTGGGTTAACCCAGTTCCAGAGATCTGGTTACACTACTCTTCCCTTTGACTCTCCAGCCTCAGGGTATTCATGGCTTTCTGGCCTTGCTAATCTCTGGTCTGCCTCACCGGTCCCTTGTATGCTTCTCAGCTCTTCCATCAGCAGTGTAACCACAGAGGCAGACACTAGAGTGATGTGGCCTCGAACCAAGGAATGCCAGTAGATAGCAGAAGCTGGAAGAGGCAAGGAACAGATTCTTCCCTGGAGCCTTGGGAGGGGGTGTGGCCCTACGGACACCTTGATTTTGAACTGCTAATCTCCAACACTCGGAGAATGAATTTTGACTGTTTTAAGCCATCAAGTTTTTGTGATAATTTGTTATAGCAGCCATAGGACACTAATAGACCCTCTTACTTCACAGAGTCATTGTATTCGTTTTCTGGGGCTGGCGTAGCAAAGTAGCACAGGCTGCATGGCTTATACAACAGAAGTTCAATTTCTTACAGTTTTGGGGGCCAGAAGTCTGGGCTCAAGGTGTTGGTAGGGTTGGTTTCATCTAAGGTCTTTCTCCTTGGCTTGCCTTCTTACTGTGTCCTCAAATGGTCTTTTCTCTGTGCATGTGCCTGGTGTCTCCCCTGTGTGTTCAAATTTCCTCTTTTTATAAGGACACCAGTCAGATTGGGTTAGAGCCCACCGTACGGCCTCCTTTTAACTTAATCACCTCTTTAAAGGCCCTATTGGGGCCGGCCCCGTGGCCAAGTGGTTAAGTTCGTGTGCTCTGCTTCGGTGGCTGAGGGTTTTGCGGATCGGATCCTGGGCGCGGACATGGCACCGCTCATCAGGCCATGCTGAGGCAGCATCCCACATAGCACAACCAGAAGGACCCACAACTAAAAATATACAACTATCTGCCGGTGGGTCTATGGCGAGAAAAAGGAACAAATAAAATCTTTTTTTAGAAAAAAAAGCCCTATCTCCAAATACAGTCACATTCTGAGGTACTGGGGGTTAGGGCTTCAACACAGGAATCTGGAGGAGGGACACAATTCAGCCCCTAACAGCCATGTTCCAGACCCTTGGCCTTTTTACCAGTTCCTTGAATACACTATATTCTTGGCTGCATTAAGTTTTTTTCCTCTACCAGGGACTCTGTTCCCCCTGTCTTTATGTCCCTCCTTCACCTGGTAAGCCTAAATTCAACCTTGAGATCATGGCTAAATATCACTCGCTGGGCCTCCAGCTATTCATGCTCACAGCACACTGCATTGCTCTTGTTGAAGTATTGTTTTGTTTTGAATGTGTTTGTGTATGTTTAATGTCTGTCTTCCTCACGAGACTGTCAGCTCCATGAGGTGACAGACAGAGCTCACATTGTACCCACAGTGCCTGACATATAGCACACAAAAAACAGATAGATGAATGAATGAATTTGCTTGTGATAAATGAGAAAATCTTTTGAAGCACATGGTATACTGAGAAAGCATTCAATATGCTGTATTTGTTGACTCTCGGCCACAAGAACCAAATTAATCTGTTGTTTATTTGCCAAATGTAATGTCTACTTCCAGACGGTCTCAGAAAATTCTTTCTGTCCAAGCTGCGGTCAAACATGTCACATGAGTGGTAAACTTACAGATGTGCCTGTGTGTGCTCTAAACACCCCTGGAGAATCTGGAGCTGAACTTCCTCCCACACTGCCACAGCCAGTCATTCATCTTCCTCCTCCACCTCCGCCTCCACCCCCTCCACCGCCTCCTCTGCCTCTGCCTCCACCACCGATAGCGCCTTTGCTGCTCAGAAAATCCAATCTCACTAAAGAACTTCAGGTAAAAAACAATCTAGTAGAGGTGTGTATTGGAAGAGTAAACTCAAGTGGCCTTTTAAGTCTGGGCTAAGGGCTTTGGCATTTTGCTCTGATTCCATATCTTAATTGTGTTTTTAAAAATTCAGTCCTGGATCTGGCCCTGTCACCTAAGGGTTAAGTTCCACGCACTCCGCTTCAGTGGCCTGGGTTCAGTTCTCAGCATGGACCTATACCACTTTACGGTGGCCTTGTTGTGGCAGCAACATATATACAAACTAGAGGAAGATTGGCACAGATGTTAGCTCAGAGCAAATCTTCCTCAAGCAAACAGAAGATTAGCAACAGATGTTAGTTCAAGGCCAATCTTCCTTAGCAAAACAAAAATAAAAACAAAAACAAAGACAAAAAACAAAACCTCAGTCCCCTGGGAACTCACAAAAGCTGGATTTAGTAATGAAAGTGATTTTTTTTTAAAAGATAACTGAATGAAATCCAGTAGAGTGGGAGATTCCTATCAGCTTCTCAGTATATCTTTTTACAAAAATGAAAACCTTCCTGGGAAATCAAATTAAGAACAGAAGATGGCTTAGTGAGTGAAGTGAGAATAAAGAGTTGGTGGATCCTAAAGTATAATGCCATTAGGCTGGAGAACCAGTCTCCATTAGAGTTACTTATCTGCCAGGGCGACCAGAAGATCTGTGATTCACTTAGATAGGCATGACCCTGTTTAAAAATCTGTTGAATTTTCACTACAGATACATTTCTTTTAAAATGGCTGAGTTAAATCCATAGCCTATTGTTATATTTGCCCTAATGTATACCTCCCTGAGTATTCATTCTCGCTCTAGGGAACTGAGTCTTCATTTTAGGTAGTTCAGGCAAAACTTCACTTTGATTCAAGGAGCTCCTTCAACTCCTGTCTTATTATAGTGACTCCCAAGGAAAATGTGTAGTTGCAGGGAACTAGCCCATCTCTTATTTACTATCAAAGCCTTACATTTTGATAAATACTTTTCAATAGCCTTCGCATCCATGGGTACTGAAAACAGGATGGTTCTTGCTTGAGTGGAAAGAATTTGATAGGCTCCTTGGGTAAATGAGAGTTAATTTTTAACTCTAAGTCTTTAAACCCTAGATTTGGATTTGCATTTGACTAGAAATCCTGGTTCCAATTTGAATTCTAATTTCTCCATGCATTTTAAGGTTGGACCGTTAAAAAAAGATGGACCTATGCAGATAACAGTTAAAGACCTGCTGACTGTGAAATTAAAAAAGACGCAGAGTTTTGATGAAAAGAGGAAGGTAAGATATCATTGACTATATACATGGTCTTTCAGCTTTTAACCTAGTTATCCCTCTCTGGAAAATAAGCATTAGTCTTATGTATAGAAGCCATTCTGAGGTATTTGATGTTTTATTTATGTAATTTTGAATCTCTTCAACAAAATGTGTAGATCCCAAAGTTATTTAATAGGCAGTTTTATCTATCAACCATTAATCCCAAGAGGTATAGATAGACTTTGAAGCTTTGTAATAAAAATTGAATAGCGTAGGGGATATGTCTTACACATACCCAGCAGTGAAATGTTCACTGTTTCAGCATGTTTATATTTTGAATGATATTTTTAAATGTGTTTTTAATTATGTCTCATTTTTTGATTAAAGCATGTACCATCACCAAAGGCTCGGAATCCACTAGTTACTGTCTCTGACCTGAAGCACGTTACCCTGAAACCAAGCTCCAAAGTGTTAACTCAAGTGACAAATGTCTTCATGTGAGGAAGTGCACGATGTTATGCTCTACTGCTGCCTAAAAGAACGAGTTTTTGCTTATTTCTGACCTTAGAAGTTATCTATATACATATATATATCTGCTTATGTAGAAAAATTGAAATTTATAGAAAAGTTTAATGAAGAAAACAAAAATCATGCAAATAATCCTATCTTTGGAAATAATCACTGTTAACATATTGTTGTTTATCATTCTAGTCTTTTTCTAAGCATATACTCTATTATTTCCATTTCATGATGCTGTTTCTTATAAGATGCCATTGATTTAATAACAGATTTGAGGGGAAAAAGAAATATCAAGAATTTTAAAAGCAGCTTGACTTCAGAAATAATAAAATGTAAAAACTAGTATGTCTTGAAATTAAAGAAATATGATGTGTGTGTGTGTGTCTATACCTGTGTATAATCGTATTGTACATACAGTTACGGCTCTTCCCATGTAATGTGTCATGAACTTTCCCTTGTATTATATAAATTAGTTTAAAGCATCATATTGACTTCTTCAATATATGCAGTTTATTATGTGTAAATTTCATAGAAAAAATTCTGTTTTGAGACATTTAGGTTATTTATGATTTTTTATTTCTGTAATTCTTCAGTGAACATGCTTGTCCGTCATCTGTGTGTATGGTTGAGTTTTTCCCTATGATAGTTCTTATGCGTGTAATTACTGAATCAAAAAGTATTACTTATTAGAATGATTATATCCCCTTATGCTCCTATTGGCATCTACTGCTACTTTTTAATGTAAGAAATTAGTGCTTTCTAGGAGGTTGCCTATAGAAATGATTGCTTTGCTTTGGGAAAAATGATAAAATCTGGCGAGCTCTAACTTTTATATCTTTATTTTATCAGTACTCCTGGTAAAAGCCAGATAGATCTACGGAAACTACTTAGAAAAGTCGATGTAGAGAGGTAACACATTCCTTATCTTTATGCTTTCTAAATCCATTTGAAAAATTGGCATAAAACATGGCTCCTAATATTTTTAATACCTTTGCAGGAGTCCAGGTGGCACCCCACTTACCAACAAAGAAAATATGGAAACAGGAACTGGGCTGACCCCAGTAATGACCCGGGCTTTGAGGAGAAAGTTTGAGGTAAGCCTTTAGAAAAAAAGACGTGGTTCCTTTTCTTCAAAATCATTTATTTAGACTCATAATCTAAAGCATCTTGCTTAATAATAATCATAATTTTTAAATGGTACCTTATGCTTTACAAAGCACTTTCATATTTAGACTTCATAAAATTCTATGAGGCAGCTAGGATTATCATCTCCACTTTAGCAATGACTATCTGGTTTCATTAACTCCTTTAATAAGTATTTATTAAGCACTTCCTATGTGCCAGGCATTGTGCTATAGTACCAGGTAAGCAAAAATAGACACATCTACTGTCTTGGAGCTTTCAGTCTAGAGAGGAAAATAGAAACTAATCATATAATCACATATTTGTATAATTTTGTACTGGAGTAAGTGCTATGAAGGAAAGAAACAGGGTTTGTGGGAACCCATAAAGGAACTTGATCTAGCCTGGATGATCTAGGAAGAGATGAAGCAAGACTTAGAGGATGAATAGGTATTAACCAGGAAGGGTACCTCCACGGTATGAGGTGGCCCACCGTGGGTGTCAGGGAGGAAACAGTTCCAGGTAAAAAGAGCAGCATGTGCAAGGGTCTCGTGGTGGGGAGAGATCATGGCCTCTCTGAGGAACTGAAAAGTGAGTCTGACAGTGGTGAAAAATAGAGATGGAAATGTAGATAGGAGTCAGATCACGCAGAGTTGGTAGGAAAAGGTCTTGGCAGCTTTCTTCTTTGTCACCTACATGTACAACCCACACACCAAAATCTAGTACATCAGCTGGCCCTTGCATGATTTCTTCCAAACCCTGTTTGTTTCCTTATCTCCCTGATCACCTCTATCATCAGATCTGTGAGAAGCAGGCATCCTTCTGCCTCCCCTGCTTAAGTGCTGGGACACAGAGCTGCTGGTCTCTTGGGCTATGAAGCTTCTATTTCTATCTCCCTCTGGCAGCAGAGACACACTACAGACTTCACTGCTGACACTCTCCCACCCCAACACTGCTCACTTCATTTTCTCCTTAAGAATCAGTGCGTTTTGCAGGACAGCTTGGTTTCCCATTGCCAATCAACTTGGTCCTCCTGGGCAGTGTAGGCATGGCCAGATTCCTCTTTCCTTCTTTTGGAGCATCCAATAGGAGTCTACCCCCAGATCATGTTCCTTGGTGATACCACAAATTGTAAAGGACAGGGGCAGAGGACAAACACCTCGCTGAAGGATTAAGCCCTTTCCTTTCTTTGTTTAGCTCTGGGATCCTTTTTGTCCTTGCCCCACCCCATAACTACTATAGTAGGTTGGGTAATATGAAAACAAATGAAAATAGAATAGATAATAATAAATAAATAAAGCACATATTGCACAACAACATCAGAAATCACAGATAAGACCTATGCCATATGTTGTACTCCCCAAAATCTACTTAACTAGTGTTGATGTAAATAAACAATAACCAATCTATAGATAAGACAGATAAGGTGAGATTTACTTGAACAAAGCTGAGGACTAGCCCAGGAAGTCAGTCTCCGCAAAGGAAGAAAGCATTCTGGAGAAGCATGGTTTTCAGTACAGTTTTATACCTTGTTGGGACAAAGAACATACATCAAACCCACTCAGGATACATATTCATCAAAGTTTCAAAGAAATATTCAGTTGCAGATTAGCAGGTCAACATGACCCTCATCTCCGGGAAAGGAAACTTACCTTCAAAGGAGCACCCATACTGGCTTCGGAGGAGAGGAAGTAGGCATCCTTATTTGCAAAGAGTGCATTCTTTTACTTTGAGATAATGTTTAATGCATCCTTATCTTAATGGTTAAGGCAGATGTACAATATAGGCTTGATAGGCCATAGTCAGGCCAAATCAGGTTTAAACCAGAATAGCTACCCCATATACCTCAGTATGTGAAAATTTCTTATCACTAGGAGGAGGTCCAGTAAAAACTGTTTTTAGACATAGAATGACCTTTCCCATCCAGCCCTTAGGCTTCCTTTTTCCTTTAACTCTGAAGCAACTGTGTTAGTTAGGTTTTGCATTTGGCTACAGGTAACGGAAATCTGACTTCAGTGGCTTAACCAACGAGGGGCTTATTTTTCTTACCTACATATTCCCTTGGGAAGTAAACAGTTCACAGCTGGTATAGCAGCTTCACCATGTCATCCCTGCTCTTCCATCCTTAATGTATGGCTTTTATGCTCCTGGTATAGAATGGCTACACTTCCTGAAGACTCATGTCCACATTCTAGGCAAGATAAGGAGAAGGGCAAAGGGCCAAACGGATGTGCTAGCTAAGCTACCCCTTATCTCTTTAAACAGGCATTATCCAGGAACTTCTGATTACATCAGGGACGCTAAGAAAAGTGGTTTTAGAATCTGGGTGCACTGCTGCCCTGCACAAAATCTGGCTTCTGTTAGTGACGAAGAAGGGGAACTATGTTGGCCACAGGAACATAATTCACATTATAATTGGGACTTTTGTTTTCATAGCTGGCTCACCCTAGAAGCCCAACTCAAACTCTGCCACTTTCTACAAGCAGCTTTGATGAGCAAAACTGATGCCAACTCTGCCAGACTCCTTGTGATGATCCACAAAATGTACAGATAAAATCACTCTAATATTCTTTTTTCAATATAGTAGGGTATGTATAAATAATTGTACTAAAATATAATTCCATTTGAAGAATTAAAGTATGTATGGAGCCCATTTATACCATGGTATAAAGTGGGTATTTGGATATTTTCTAGTTTGCGTGTTCAGTAAGAGAACAGATGGGAAAATGCAATCTCCAAAGTGATTTTATCCTGAAATTACCCAGTTTAGGTTAGAGAAGTTGTTCAAATTTAGCTAGATAACTGTAGCTTGTACTCTATAGGTGCAGTTGTGACTTTAAGAAAATAACCTGGTTCTTGTTCATCTTGAGTATTCTTGGGTAATTGAAAAGAAAAGTATTTTGGCCTGTAAAGTTCATGCATCGTAAGTGCTACGAACTTAATCAATAAAAAAGACCCTCTAATTTGATTTCTATTTGCTATAAACAGTTAGGATGTTAGACCATCCCCCATCCAAACCCAACTATTTTCTGAAAGGATTTGAAGCCAAAGGTCCGACGTGACCCTAAAAATTAGAATGTATCATTTCTAGCATCTTAGGTATGTAGTTAGATCTGGCTCACTGAAGTCTGACATATTCCTTACTTTTATATCTGCTATCCACATTCATGACGCTAAATATAAATTTCGTGAAGACCTCAACACGAACTTGTTTTTTCCACAGTGCCCTGCCAAGGTTTCTCTGAGGTCCATAGTGGGTTCTCTGTGAGACCTGATTCCTTGTCCTCAACAACTTGTTCATTCAATAATAGTAATAATGCACACCTTATTGGATTTTTTTCTTTCCAGCCAGGCTAGAGTTGCCAGATTTAGTAAATATAAATACATGACACCCAATCAAATTTGAATTTCAGATAAACAACAAACAACTTCTCAGTATACATATGTCTCATTAAACAACGAATAATTTTTTTAATATAAGTAGGTCCCAAATATTGCATGGGACATATTTATGCTAAAAAAGTATTCATTGTTTACCTGAAATTCAAATTTTATCTCAGCATCCTATATTTTACGTAGGCAGCCCTATCAGTCAGTCCCCTACAAAGTTGCCCAGGATTTCAGGGAGCCCCAAGTTTGCCAGACATGTCCACTTGGCAGAGGATACTAATATAGCTTCAGCCAGGATCCCCGTCATTAGTGTGCTAAGCATCATAGAGGAAGGGGAACTCTCATTAGGGCGAGTGTGACTGAAGGTGCAGGATTAGCTTCGATGCTGAAAACTTCCGCTGCAGTTCCAAGAATAAGGATAGAAGGTCCTCATGGATAGGAAACAAAGAGTTTCAGATCTTCACTGCACTTTCTAGCCTGACTGGAAGTAGATACCTAGATGATATCCTTGATATATTCTCTGATTAGCTTAGGCTAAAAAGATATTTCATCAATTTCCCAGAAATGCCTATATTTCCACAGATAAATATAGCTTTGAGATGCTAAATACAGGGTTGTGGAAAGTCACCAGACTGGAAAGCAGGCCCTGTTTTGTTCTTATGAGACCCATATTTATGTTTACAACACCTTTATAGATGAAAATTAAATAGATAATGAAGTTAAGAAACATTTCTTCTGGTAAATTTTTCTTTTAAACCTGCTAGCTACATTTATATTATGTAAGAATAAAGGGAATGATCACTGAGAATAAAGCAATTGAGTATTGTATCAGAATGTTTTATGCTGCACTTCTAATGTTTATAATATTAATAAACCACCATGTACTATATCAATTTAATTTAAATGATTTGATCATTCTTGTGGGATAAAGGTTCATTTAAAAAAATGTTATAGAAATCCTATAAATATCTGTAAAGCTGCTACTGCCATTGTACCAGTATTAAAATATGTTCTACCTTGAATTTTTTACTACTTTTTATAACAGATTTTATATTGCACCCTGTATCCTGTAAATACTATGGCTTCATTAAACTATTACTGATCATGTGTTTCCAATGTTTATTTGAGACTGAATGACAACCAGAGTTAAAAACAACCAGAGAGCATAAACAACCAAGGTGCATCTGGTTATGTTTTTAAATAAAGAATAATTTTTAGGGGCCGGCCCCATAGCCGAGTGGTTAAGTTCGCATGCTCTGCTTCGGCAGCTTGGGGTTTTAGCTGGTTCACATCCAGGGCACGGACATGACACTGCTCGTCAAGCCATGCTGAGGTGGCATCCCACATGCCACAACTAGAAGGACCCACATCCAAAAATACACAAGTATGTACCCGGGGGGGGGGGGGGGGTTGGGAGAAAAAGGAAAAATTTTAAAAATCTACAAAAAAAAAAAGAATAATTTTTAAAACCTTTGGTTTTTCTCTTTTTTAACATTTTCACTAGAAATATAATAAATACAGAACAATGCAGGGGGCTGGCCTGGTGGCACAGTGGTTAAGTGCACACGTTCCACTTTGGTGGCCCAGGGTTTGGATCCCAGGTGCAGACATGGCACTGTTTGTCAAGCCACACTGTGGTAGGTGTCCCACATATAAAGTAGAGGAAGATGGGCATGGATGTTAGCTCAGGGCCAGTCTTCCTCAGCAAAATAGGAGGATTGGCCATGGATATTAGCTCAGGGCTAATCTTCCTCAAATAAAAAGTCATAAAACATAAATATGTAAATTAATAAATCATAAAGCAAACACTCATGTAACCACTAAGAAAGAGACATTATAACTGTCTTAGAATCCCTGCCTGTCTTCCTCCCCCATCATAATGCCTTTTCTCAAGAAGTAACTACTGATCTGCTTGTTACAATAAATATTTCTTTGCTTTTACCCTCTAAGTATGCATCCTCAAATGCAATGATTTATTTTGCTTGCTTTTGAACTCTCTATATAAACAGAATCATACATTATACATTCTTTTGTTTCTGGCTTCTTTCAATCAATACTTATTTTTAAGATTCAACCATGTTATTGTGTAGAGGTATAGATTATTTATTTTTGGTGTATGAATATAGTTATTACTTCCTTATTGTTGATGATGTTTGTTAATGAACATTAGGATTATTTCTAGTTTTTGGCTATTATGAACCATGCATGGCATTATGAACATTCTTGAGCATGTACATATATATAAGAATTACTCTAGTGTGTATACCCAGGAGTGGAACTGCTAGGTTATAAAGTATACCTATTTTCCTTTCTTTTTTTTATTAAAGTATAATTGACATACAATATCCTATTAGTTTCAGGCGTACATCATAGTGATTCAATATTTACATACATTACAAAATGATCACCATGATAAGTCTAATTACCACCTGTCACCATACAAAGTTATTATAATATTATTGACTATATTCCCTATGCTGTACCTTACATCCCCATGACTTACTAATTTTATGACTGGGCGTTTTTACCTCTTAATGTGCCTATTTTCTAGATACTGTCAAACTTGTTTTCCAAGTAGTTGTACCAGTCCATGATTCCTTCAGCATAGTATGAGAGTTCTTGTTGCTCCTGTTTTCTTCAAAAGAGTCTTTTCTATTTGGTTTTTCCACATTTTGTTTACTTGGGAAAACTGTACAACATATGTGGTTAATATACACTATTTTTCCTGGATTTATAAGTCAAGGAATTGTTAAAATGATCTTATATCAGCAAAGTCACATACTGAACATATCAAATAATCTACATGATGAGGATCACAATATAATTTATGTGAATAAACATGTGGAATTTCTCATTTTAGTTGGCTTTCTAAAGAAAGATAGGATCTGGACATGTAGAAGTAGAGAAGGGAACAAGTAAAGAACATATAGACAGATAAAATTTTAAAAAATACATTTAAAAACCCACACCACTCCTTTCTAAATTCTTGTTGGTAAATAAGAGTTGGTTGAGAAGAATTTATGGAAGCCCAATTTGGCTTAATATATTAAAAACACCACCACCATGACTTAGGGCCCCACCCTTCCTTTGAGGATTAAATGAGGTAGTTCTTTTTTTCCTCCAGTTTTATTGAGATGTAATTGACATATTACATTGTATTAATTTAAGTATACAACATGATTTGATATATGTATATATTGCAAAATGATTACCACCGCAATACGTTTAGTTAACATCTATCACCTCATATAGTTACAGATTTTTTTTTCTTGTGATGAGAACTTTTAAGATCTACTCTTGGGCCGGCCCTGTGGCCGAGTGGTTAAGTTCGTGTACTCCGCTTCGGCAGCCCAGGGTTTTGCCGGTTCAGATCCTGGTTGCCCTTATGGCACCACTCATCAGGCCGTGCTGAGGTGGCATCCCACATGCCACAACTAGAGGGACCCACAACTAAAATTACACAACTATGTACCGGGGGGGCTTTGGGGAGAAAAAGGAAACATAAAATTAAAAGAAAAGAAAAAGATCTACTCTCAGCAATTTTCAAGCATACAATACCATATTGTTAACTATAGTTAGACCATGCTGTACGTTACATCCCCAGAAACTTATTTATGTAGTAACTGGATCTTTGTACCTTTTGACTACATTCACCCATTTTGCCCCACACTCACACACTCCTAGCAACCATTGACATGTTCTCTATTTCTGAGAGTTAGGTTTTCTTAGATTCTCTATATAAGTGAGATCATACATAAATGAGATAATTCTCGATAAAGATTTAGCACAGAGCCACACTCAGAGTAAGCAATCTGTGCTTTATTATTTTATTGTCATTATTTGACATTCCAAGAACCTTAAACACAAATTATTTAACTCCATTTCTACTTTAAAACCAAGAGTATTTCAAAAAATAAATCTAACCATTCAAACTTCCAAGCAACTGAGTCAAATATTGAGTTAAGGCTTTCCACATTTCTTCAAGGAAGAATTTTTTTAACATTACAAATTGAAAAAAGTGTTCATTGTAAAAAGAAATTAGAAAATAGAGATATAAAAATAAAAGATGTCCACTCAAAACCCTGCACACAAATGTCTGTAGCAGCTTTATTCATAATTGCCAAAACTTAGAAGCGACAAAGATGTCCTTTAGTAGGTGAGTGGATAAATAAACTGTGATACATCCAGATAATGGAATACTATTCAGGACTTAAAAGAAATGAGCTACCAAATCATGAAAAAACACAGAGGAACCTTAAATGCATACTACTCAGTGAAAAAAGCCAATCCAAAAAGATTGTGCTGTATGACTCCAACTATATGACATTCTGGAAAAGACAACACTATGGAGACAGTAAAAAGATCAGTGGTTACCAGGGGTTATGAGAAAGGGAGGGATGAATAGGCAGATCACAGAGGATTTTTAGGGCAGTGAAACTATTCTATATGATACTATAATGGTGGTATATGTCATTACACTTTTGTCCAAACCCATAGAACGTACAACACCAAGAATTAACCGAAATGTAAATTACGGATTTTTGGGCGATAATGATGTGTCAATCTAGGTTCATCAGTTGCAACAAATGTACCACTCTGGAGGAGGGTGTTGATAGCTGAGGAGGCTGTGCCTGTGGGAGCAGAGGGCATATGGGAACTGTCTGCACTTTCTGCTCAATTTTGATATGAACCTAAAACTCCTCTTAAAAAATAAAGTCTGTTTAAAAAAAGCAGAAAAAAAGGAATAAATAAAAGTAAACAAATCCCACTACACTTTAAATATTTTGATATACGCTTTGTTTAACATTTTGGTATATAATCTTCTGAGCCTGAGAAATTATTTTTTTAAAGCTTCTACTCCATAAACGTTTCAAAATCATTGTCTTCCTTTCCCTTGATGTGAGTGAATATTTCTTTATGAATAGGTTTGAAGAAGGAAATCTGTTCCTTGCTTTGCAAGACGTTTCT